CCCTGGTACCCCCCCCCCAAAAAAAACAAACAAACTAGGATTAGAGGTCCCATATGACCCAGCTATTCCTCTTCTGAGTATCTTCCCAAAAGAATTAAAAGCATCATACCACAGCGATATATGCGCATCCATGTTTATAGCAACACAGTTTATAATAGCTAAATCAAGGAAACAATCCTGAAGAATTTTTTTTTTTTTTGGTACCAAGGATGGAACTCGGGACCTTGCGCTTGTGAGCCAGGCGGTGGAACCACTGAGCTAAATCTTCTGTCCCCTGGAAACAATCCAAATACCCACCAACTGATAAATGCATAAAAAGATGTGTTTTTTTTTTATACAATGGAGTACTACTTAGCCATAAAGAAGGATAAACTTGAGACATTTCTCAAGTCTTGCACCTTGAGACCATACTCTTAAGTGAAACAAATTAGACACACATGTCTAAATATCGCATTGTCACTCTGGTGTGAGAAACTAAAAGTGTAAATAAGGACCAAAATATATAACAGATATTGTGAAACAGAAATTGTTCAAAAAGAAAGGGGAACTATGAAGGGCGGAGGGAGAAAGGAGGAAGGGAAAAGAAAAAAATGAGAAAAGAAGGATAAAATGGAAACAAAGCTTTGTAAATAAGGAGAGGAAGCAGGCTTGAAGGGAGGGAAGGGAATGGGAAAAAAGAGGAATCAAGATATATCAAGTACAAATTCCCTATGATGAATGTGATCATTATGTATATCTAAATTGTACCAATAAACTTAACTTTCAGAAAAGTTAATTTCTAGCTCTGTTTCCTGGAAATTTGATAAGGTAGAATGCCAGCAACATTGCTCAGCAAAAGCATAACCTTCAATTGGCTAATTTCGTCTGGTCTGGGAGGAACTATTCCTCCTTACCCCCTACCCAGTGGGTTTGTCATGGCTTTGAGCTTCTTAGAAAAGTGATTCTTGGAACTGGGCATGTTCTTGTGGGGACCCTGGAAGCTGTACCACTGGACATCAGGTTCTATGGGGCATTGATCTTCTATACCAAGGGTATCCCTTTACCCACCAATATGGATCTCATTTCCTGAAGCAGAGCGGTCACAGGCAGGGTTGGGTGTGGAGACAACCTCCAGTTTGGGGCTGATGTGTGGATACCAAGTGTGGCCTATGGACATTTATGAGTCTCGCGCCTAGTTAGGAAGCACCCAATGTGGGTGCTGGGGATTAAGTCACTCTGAAAACAGCTGCATCTTCTTTCTTCTGCAGGGATGTCAGCAGGGAGGGAATAAGTCTCCTTGTTTGTGGCTTGTTTGGGGACTGGGGCAGTGCCTGGCACACAGCATGACAAAACAGATATTTATTAAGTGAAGCAATTAATGTTCCTGAACTTATAAATGCCAAGAAGGGTTTCTTCAAAGGAATTTCAGTACAATTTTACTAGAAAAAGGAAATTTTACTAGAAAAACCAGGATTTTGCAAGTCTACTTGTAAATTCATTACTTTCTCTACAGACAGACGGAAGGACAGAGCTGCTTAGAGTGGGCAGCACTTAAAATAAGTGCAGTCACATACTTGCTGAATGAGTTTTAGTTCAGCATTTGATATTTTATAAGTGATTTCTTCTAGTTTTTGGTATAAGAGAAATCTTATATAACAGGGCCAGTACTGTGTAGAAAATGACAAACAAACCAAATATCACAACTTATGACCCTTTGCAGAATGTCCTTCATCAAATCACAAACCTCCTTTCAGATTAAAGATCACATTTAACCTCAGTGCTCAGTTCCAAGGGAAGAGGCCAAAGATAGTGGAATGATATAAACTGTGCACTAGGTCAAATTATGCTCCAAAATATCCCCGTGGGTCACAAACCCTAGAATGGCACATGTTGCCATACTGCAGTTAGTCTGGTGCCCAGGAATGGGGTTATTATAGTGTTTTTAAGAATTAGGTCTTTTTACCAAGATGGCGCTGAAGGCGAAGAAGGAAGCTCCTGGCCCTCCCAAAGCTGAAGCCAAAGCAAAAGCTTTGAAAGCCAAGAAAGCAGTGCTGAAAGGCATCCACAGCCACAAAAAGAAGAAAATCCACACGTCACCCACCTTCCGCCGTCCCAAGACACTGCGGCTCTGGCCGAAATACCCTTGGAAAAGCGCCCCCAGGAGAAACAAGCTTGACCACTATGTCATCATCAAGTTCCCCCTGACCACAGAGTCAGCCATGAAGAAGATAGAGGGCAACAACACACTCGTATTCACTGTGGATGTCAAGGCCAACAAGCACCAGATCAAACAAGCCGTGAAGAAGCTCTAGGACACTGATGTGGCCCAGGTCAATACCCTAATCAGGCCTGACGGAGAGAAGAAGGCGTATGTTCGACTGGCTCCTGACTATGATGCCTTGGATGTTGCCAACAAAATTGGGATCAGCTAAACTGAGTTCAGCTGGCTAATTCTAAACACACATTATTTTCACCATAAAAAAAAAAAAGAATTCGGAAATTAGTTTTCATATCCTGAACAGCAAATGACTAAATTGGAAAATACTGTAGGAAGAATTATTAAACAAATAAATGAGTTAACATGCTGTCTATGTTTCTATTAACATTACTGAAGTCAGAAGTGCTGTCTTGGTGGTCATCAGCAAAAATACATTTGAGAATTACTAGTGAGATTAAAGTACTCAAGGGCCGGGGATTTAGCTCAGTGGTTCTGCCACCTGCCTCACAAGCGCAAGGACCCAAGTTTGATCCCTGGTACAAAAAAAAAAAAGTATTCAGATCTTACCAGTTAGGGTTTTGAAGGCTCGGGTGGGTGGGAGTCATAGGGGCAGGGGTGGGGATATGCTAATGGTCCCCACTCCTGCTCCTGCACCCCCTAACTTCCTAGTCTCCTGCAGGCCTGCCTGCATGATTCCCCATTTCCTCATGGGGTCCAGCTCTCAGGCTATGCTGTTCACCCAAATAAGGGACTGTCCCCTCAGTTAACAGCTCCCAGTCCAAAGGGTTTTGATGTCACTCACCTACTCATTTCACTCAAGCTCAGTGAGCCAACCCAGCTAATACCCTGCAGTTATTCTTGAATTTTCTCTCTCACAGCTTGCGCCTGCTCTATCAGCAGATCTTATGAGCTCTATCCTGAGTAAATCCTAAGGCCCTGGGCTTCTCCATTTCCCAACACTGTTATATAAGCTAAGCCTTCATCATTTCTGAGTCCTTCCACAGCCTCCCCTCCAGCCTCCCCACTTCTTGCCAGCCCCCACTGGTGTTCTCCATGCAGAGTCCTGGCCACGCTGGCTCAGTCACACGTGATGTGGCTCTGCTGCCCTCCTCTCTCCAGCCTCCAGCTCTTCCTCAGACCCAACAAGCACATGACCAGCTCTGGGCCTTTGCACCTGCTGTCCACCAGGCCTGAAGGCTCTTCTTCTAGCTACTCACATGGTCTTCACACCACTTTACCTAAGACATTGCTCCTACCCTAACACTATCCTTTGTTTCTTTCCAGAGCAGCCATGGCTACTTGAGCTTATTTCTATATGCTTATTATTTTGCTTGATGCACAAACATGCAAAATAAATACTGAATGGATAAAAAGCTGTGAAAATATCTGTTAAGACATAAAGAATAAGCAAACTAAAAATGAAGTATTTACAATAGATATCTAAAGAGAACCATGACTATATACAAAATACTCTCCTCTGCAAAGGCCAGCTAATGGCTTTTTAAAAAAAAGTAATGGCTCTGTGAGTGCCTGGAGACACCACATAGTGAAGGGAGCCCAGGACAGGAGCTGGGCACAGAAGGCGGCTGGGCCCTGAACAGCATCTGGAGTGGAGGCGGGCAGGGAGAGGGAACAGGCAGGTCTGAGAAGCGCTGAGCATGTCATGGGGAGTAGGCAGGGGTCAGGTGAGGGCCTCACATGCCAGGTGGGCAGGCATCCTCACCGCCCTAGACAGTGTAAGCCTGTTGCTCCTATGCTAACACTATTAATACTGAGTGTCCAGTTGGATGCTAGACCATGTGCCAGCCTATGGATAAGGTGTGGGAGAGCCTGGTCTTGAGCTAAAGGCACTGGGGGCTTGGCTTCTTGGGTTCTTTTTCATGAATAGCATTGTGAAAAACACACTGGGGACTTGTGTGTGTGAATGTGCACGTAAGGCAGGAGGCAGGGAAACTAGTTACTAGGCTGGTGCAGTGAAGGAAGTGAAAGAAGCTGG